GGGCACAAACCCGCGTCCCCTGCATCGGCAGGCGGACTCTCAACCACTGCGCCACCAGGGAAGCCCGCATTTGTAAACTTTTTGATGATAGCCATAGTGACATGTGTGAGGTGTTATCTCATTGTTGTTTTTATTTGCATCTCCCTGATAATTTTTTGAATAATATTTTCGATCAAAATTAAAATAGCATATAAGTCATCTCACAAATGCAGCAGTCTGCCTTTAGGGAGCTTCTGGAGCAAATTGCCAGGTTTTCAAGATAAGTACTGTCAAAATCAAAGCAGAACCCTGGTCCCTGGCAGGATTCCCTTGGGTAAGTGGACAGTTTCCTGCAAAAGGAAACATTGGAATCCAAGGAGAGACTGAATCCTGTAAACTGGAAATCAAGGGGTGAAGAAGTGCTTGGGGACCTCCTGGATCCTTCCCCTGGACACATATGCCAGGCACCAAAGATAAATGAAAGAGTGGGTCTCATTTGTTCAATAAATAGCCATTGTATGAGCTGAATATTTAGTAACACATAGGTCCACAATCAGAACTTCAGCCCAGAAAAATACATGTAAAAGATGAATGCCTTAGAATATAAATGATGCTCTCTGTCATCCTATTTAGCAGTGAACATGCACACCTTCTATTGAATTGTCTGGACAGTTTGGAAATGAAAGTCCTACAGGCTAGAAAGTTTAAGAGCTAATGGATGCTTTTGACCTTCCAGCTGGTTATAATAAGGGTGGTGAAATCAGCCAATACATTCTTTATAACCTGATTATAATTCAGTTCTTCAAATTCTCAGTCCTAAACACCAATGATTTTTAGGTTAACCTGTCCACCACACCTTTTTTAAGAATGAGAGCTGAAATGATGTCATATGATATTGGATAGAACGGTTTTAGAGCCTTAAATTCAAGCTTTGAAACATTAGTTTTGGTTTATTTTAAAATATTTATTTTAAAATATTTATTTTTATTTTGCATATTTATTTTAAAATATTCATAGTGCCAGTTTTTGTTCTTTACCGCCAGATTTTGTTCTCCACCCTCTGAAGCCTGTAAAATACAACACAAGCACTTATGAAGGAGGAGATGCGCTGGTGCTAATTCTATGTATTTTATTCCCTGGCATATTTAATTATGAGAGAGTAGACGAAGGGATTAGTATGTGTAGGAAAATTACAGCCTCCACATCATCCACTGGGGTGATACTGGTTGGTTAATCTTGGGCCAGTCTCATAGTTTCTACAAACTTCAGATTTCCTGGGAAAAGTATGATGACAAGGCTCATTGTGTAGCTACGTAGTTTTATTTGAAAATATGACTAGCATTCTGAAGTATGCTATCTAGAGCTACCGTAACAAAGTGCCACAGAGTGGGTGGCTTAAATAACAGAAATTTACTTCTCATTTTCCTGGGGCTAGAAGTCTGAGATCGATGTGTCAGAATGGTTGGTTCCAGCTAAGGTCTCTCCCCTTGGCTTATAGCTGGCTGTCTTCCTCCGGTGTCCTCACATTGTATTCCCTCTGTGTGTGTTTGTATCCTAACCTCATCTTTTAATAAGGCCACCAGTTATATTGGATCAAGCCCACTTCAATGACCTCATTTAAACTTAGTTACCTCTTTCGAGATGCTGTCTCTAACTACAGTCATATTCTGAAGTGCTGGAGGTTAAGACTTCAGCATCCAAGTTTGGGAGGGACATGATTCAGCCCATAACACTTGGGATATTAATTCTACTAGTTTTTAGTGCCTTGGTAAATGAAGATCAGTATTTTAGAAAGAGAAAGTCATGAGAAATAAAAAGACAAAACTGAAAGAGAGAAAGTTTAGTGTGAAAAGAGGGAAAGAAAAATCCTGACTAAATGACAGGCTGCCTAATTATGTAAAGCTTCTGCATTCTATCCTCTATGTATTCAGAGAGAGATTTCTGTATTGCTCTTTACTTTCATCAAAGGTCTCAATATGTCAATCAGAATACACAGTTCACATATGGGAAATTTCTTCATGATGCCTTCCCTAAATCCATAGAAAAAATAAATTTTCGTATCTGGCAAGCGTGCAGAAGTTCAACACCATTCTAGCACTGATAGAATATTTCGAAAGGATTTTAGATGAGACCTGTCATATTATTACCATCTCTAATTAGCACTCTAAAAGGTATAACAGTCTTTCTACGCAATTAAGCTCTACTCAGAAAGGTGTTAAATTCATTTTTTCCTGGGGAGAGGAACGATGTGGAAGAAATCTTGAGAAGTAGGATTATAGTAATCATGAGGGTATACATCATCCAGGCCAAAAAGCCAATGCTTTAATAGAAAAAAATATCATGTAAAAAATAATTCCATGGATGTTATTAATTAGTTACCATAAGCAGGAATCAATAGAATACATATTCTGCAGTGTCCTCTTGTTTGGATAGGAGTTAAAGGGCATGCTCCTCTCTGATAGGGAAAAGTGACTTTATCTAGATGTTTCTCCTTGGAGAGCAGTCTCTCAGATTCTGACCCTTTCCACAATGGAGAGAAGCACTTGCCTTCCTTCGCTACTGCTCTCCTCTGCCACTCTGCTAGGTCGTTTTTAGGCCATGATAATAAAAGATGCCTGAGAAACTCTGCGCATCTTCAGATAAGTCTCTGTGTACCATTGCAACATGCATCCCATAGCTTTGTAATAAAGATAGGGGACCCTCACCACTGGCAATATTCTCAGTCAAGATTTTAAATTTCCTGAAGAAAAACAGTGTATTTCAAATACACTTAATGTTAAACAACTCTTTAAATTACAGACATATATATAGGATTATTAACTAGATATTGTATATATACAAACAACGTTGAAAGCTGTTCAGCTGTTTCAATTGATGGCTCCCAAGATGCAGCTGGCAGTACTGATGCAATTTGATAGATTTTGGGGGAAGCTATTCTAATAGAGCTGACTTTAATGATAGGGAAGGGAAGAGAATTGTCTTGGACAAAATAATTTTTAATGTCTTTAATTATTTTCATCTCTGACAACTTTTGGCTCTTCTAACTTGTTTCAAATTTTCAAACTTCCTTAGATATCTAGTTTAAAATACAACAGCATGTACTATGTATATGTTATGAATGGCTGACTCTACCTCCTTCAGCTTCACTTCTTGATGCCAATCACTTCTTAAAGTTTTAATTTTACAGACAGTAAAATTGAATGGTTTTAAATAAATTATTTTGAGAAATTAGTAATATATACAAGATACTCTTGGGCTAATTCTCCTTTGCTTCTAAGTAAAAAAAAAAAATTGTTGCTTGACCTTTGTCTTGGTGTTTTTCTGCTTAACTGGAAAAGTTTTTATAACCTCATTGTCTTTTTCCTAAAGTTAGTAGCTCTTCTATGTCCAGAACTAAAATCTGTCTCTCACTTCTGCAAGCATTATTTCACCATATGCAGCATTTGTCTCAGGAGAAGAGCAGTAAAATGATTGATTAGCCTGTTTTTTTTTTTCCCCCTAGAATATGCTTTATAAGTTAAGTAGAATCAGTTCTTTCACATACCATCAAAATAATTATTTATATATATTATTTCAATCCATTTTCACCAAGTTGTGAGGTTGGTACAGATAACCCTTATCTTTTCAAGAGCAAAGAGCAAGCAGAGAAAAAGGTCAGCCGCAAGCATTTGGGGCTGCATTGTGTGCTGCTTAAGAAGAAAGAATATGGAGACAACACGGCTCATCGTTTACTAGTTGTGTTACATATCACATAAAGAGTAAGTGACCTTAGATAACTACCTCATCAGAAATTTAACTTGGAAAATGGCATTGGTAAATCTTTTTGTGTAAAATGCAGGAACATTCATACAGCTGTATAAAACAGCATAAAATACATTTCTTTGAGAATATGACTTCTTTTTTTTCTAAGGATGTATTTCTAGCAGTGAATTGCAGTCAAAGGTACGGACATATTGAATGGTTTTTGATATATATATATATTTTAAAATTTTTTTATAAAAGGTAATTTTTTTTTTTTTTTTTTTTTTTTTTTTTTTTTTCCGCGGGCCTTTCACTGTTGTGGCCTCTCCCGTGGCGGAGCACAGGCTCCGGACGCGCAGGCTCAGCAGCCATGGCTCACGGGCCCAGCCGCTCCGCGGCATGTGGGATCTTCCCGGACCGGGGCACGAACCCGTATCCCCTGCATCGGCAGGCGGACTCTCAACCACTGCGCCACCAGGGAAGCCCATAAAAGGTAATTTTTAATAGGAGAGTCAACAGGTTATCTCATGTTGCTGGACATACTGATATTTTATTTTTTTCCTTTTTCTTATATGCATTTGTGTACTTTAATGAGCATATACTTTTCATGTAATAACAAAAAATAAAGGAGAATTATATTTATAGACTATCATTTCAGTCTGTCCTGTCATGGCAATCCATTGATTTTTAACATATCTTGAGAGTGTTTTTTAATTATTTAAATGTTTCCTGCAGGTTAAGACCATAATCCAAGATGATCAAGAAGATTGAATTCTCAATTAATTGATTGTTGCTAAAGACTCTCATACAGAGATAAACTAAGACATTACAGTTTATGTAATGTCCTAGTTTATAAACAGTTATGTAAACAGAGGTCCCTTTTATATTGAAAGCACCTGGCAAATAACTTGACTACTATTCTTTCTTTACTGTATATAACATCTGCATTATGTGTATATGTGTGTATGTGTTTGTGTATTATATTTTTTTTGTCTACGTCTTGATGATCTTGTAAGTATATGCTATTTCCTTACTTGAAAATCAGCCATACACATTTGAGTAATATCAGTTAGATTTTTTAATATAAATCAGTTTTTCCTTTTTGATGATTACATTATGTGAAGATGTCTGAATATTATTTTTTTCTTTCTTAGACATGTATTTGAAGACATATCTATGAAACATCTAGATTTCCTGTAGAAATTGGACATTTACATATTTAGGCAGTCTATTTCTGCACTTTAAATGTTGGTAATGTAAAATAAAAAGACACAACTTTGTTTTTTAATCATTTTCATAAGTTTAATAGCCAGTACTATTTAAAAAATCCTTTTTTGTGGTAACCTGATTACGTGGAGGTTCTTCTTATCCTGATCTAAAAAAGAAACAGAAAGCATTTAGTCCAATATTTTAAGGAGGAAAGTTAAGGGGAATTTAAATGGAAATAGGCTCAGAAAAGAATCTGTGACTTAACGAACAATCATTGTTTACCACAGAGAAGTTGATTTAAAAGGAACTCATTCATAATACTTTATATATGAAAAAATTATTAGACTGAATATATAGATAAGTTCTTGTCCTACTTTTGTGAAGATAATAGAAAACAACTCGTTATATTAATAAAAATAAATTAAAAATAGATGATTAAATACATGATACAGTGTAATATATTTAGGCAAAATGATATTACAACTGTGTGTTTATTTACATGGATATGTTTTGATGTTAACGTACTTATCAAGTAACCATTAAGAAATAATTTCTTATTTTCTTGTCTTTCTTAATAATATAAATTTCCAATTTTAGGTGGGATAACTAGCTTTCAAAACATTAGTGATGTGCTTTTTATATAGTGTTGAAGAAAATTTCTTAAATGTCACTTCATACTGTTAAATTACCTACGGAGGAAGGTACATCAGATGCCTTGATAATTATGGTATTATAAGAAACATAGTCCTTTTGCTAATTTGTTATGATTTCTCTGTTTATGAAGGCATTAAAACTTGTTTAGGGCTTCCCTGGTCGCTCAGTGGTTGACAGTCTGCCTGCCGATGCAGGGCATGCGGGTTCGTGCCCCGGTCCGGGAGGATCCCACATGCCGCGGAGCGGCTGGGCCCGTGAGCCATGGCCACTGAGCCTGCGCGTCCGGAGCCTGTGCTCCGCAAACGGTAGAGGCCACAACAGTGAGAGGCCCGCGTACCGCAAAAAAAAAAAACACAAAAAACCCCCCCAAAAAACGTCAGTTTAACACATCATACGAAAACATTATAAATTTTCCTGAAACGTTTCTTCATCCATTTATTTTGTGCCTTTCTGCACACAGATGCTGTTGAAAAGTATAAGTCGATCTGTCACTGTCCCATCAGTCTGTCCATTCTTCACTCAGCTGGAACATGAGAGGCTGAGTTTATCTCTGAACTGGATATTCATTCTGAAGCCTTCAGGGTTGCTGTCACAATGAGTCTGGCAAACTTGGAACACCATTTGTTGTAGCATTTTATTTTTCTCCCTTAGAAAATTAACATAATTCAAACAGAACTCTGCCACCACCCCTTTAAAGAAACCAGGTTCCAAGAATGTAAAACTATCAATAAAGACAGTGATATATTTCTATTTCTCTATTTTTGCAGGCTCCTGAAGCAAATTGCCATGAGTGATGTTGTTACTGTAATCTACACATTAAGGAGAGAAAAGAGATATTGGCAGATTTTCTGCTAATGACCTCTATCAATGTCTCTAGACTCCCCACACTCTCATCTCCCCACAACTTCCATCCCTGGTTGGAAATGTTTTCCTTGCCATAGTAAGGCAAAGTTATTGATGGGGAGGCATCAGATACCTCGGGCGTGTTGTGGTGGGAAGGGAGGTTGGGGAGGGCTGGTAATAATGTTGAAAACTTCTGCAAGGAAAAAAGTGTTTCCTAGGGCACCCTAAAATATAGAGGCTAGATAACAATAATTGCTACTTGTATTGAGAAATTCCACTGTGCTTGGTTCTTTTCTAGAAAGCATATTATTTATTCCTTACAGCAATCACACGAGATGTCATCCCCATTTTACAGATAAGAAAATTAGAGGTTAGAGAATTGGGATACTTGCTCTCAGTCCTGCTACCAAGTAGTAGAGCCTAGATCAGTCCCTGCATTTAACCTGTACCCAGTTCCTCTACTTTCTGAAGTCTACCATGCTTACTCACTTCTTGAGTTCATAAATATGCTTTCCCTTCAAATATTAAAGTTATTTGAATTTTTTGTTGGTTTCATTTTTAATTTGAAAAATTTTTAAATTGAAGTATAGTTGATTTACAATGTTTCAGGTCTACAGCAAAGTGATTCAGAATATATATATTCTTTTTTTTTTTTTTTTTTTTGCGCTTTGCGGGCCTCACTGTAGCGGCCTCTTCCGTTGCGGAACGCAGGCTCCGGATGCGCAGGCTCAGCGGCAATGGCTCACGGGCCCAGCCGCTCCGCGGCATGTGGGATCTTCCCGGACCGGGGCACGAACCTGTGTTCCCTGCATTGGCAGGCGGACTCTCAACCACTGCACCACCAGGGAAGCCCAAAAAACTACATATTCTTTTTCGGATTCCTTTTCCATTATAGATTATTACATGATATTGAATATAGTTCCCTGTGCTATACAGTAGATCCTTGTTTTTAAAAATCTATTTTATATATAGTAGTGTGTATATGTTAATCTCAAATTCCCAATTTATCCCTCCCTCTGCCTTTCCCCTTTGATAATCATAAGTTCATTTTCTATGTCTGCGAGTCTGTTTCTGTTTCATAAATAAGTTGATTTGCATCATTGTTTTAGAGTCCACATATAAGTGATATTATATGATATTTATCTCTGTCTGACTTACTTAGTATGATACTCTCTAGGTCCATCCATGTTGCTGCAAATGGCATTATTTCATTCATTTTTATGACTGAGTAGTATTCCATTGTATGTATATGTCGATGGACATTCGGGCTGCTTCCACGCCTTGGCTATTGTAAATATTGCTGCTATGAACACTGGGGTGTGTGTATCTTTTCAAATTAGTGTTTTCGTCTTTTCTGGATATATGCCCAAAACTGGAATTGTTGGATCATATGGCAACTCTCTTTTTAGTTTTTAAAGGAACCTCCATACTGTTTTCCATAGTGGCTGCACCAATATACATTCCCACCAACAGGGCAGGAGGGTTCCCTTTTCTCCACACTCTCTCCAGCATTTATTATTTATACACTTTTTGATGATGGCCATTCTGACCAGTGTGAGATGGTACCTCATTGTGGTTTCGATTTGCATTTCTCTAATAATTAGTGATGTTGAGCATTTGTTCATGTGCCTGTTGGCCATCTATTTGAACTTTTGGATCCCCCAATATTTAAACATCTTTCCTACCTAGCTTTAAAGGCTTTAACCGTAGAATCTTGCATGTCTTAATATTCTTAGCACCAAAAGCCACAAGGATATTTAAAATGATGCCCAGTTGAATTTTACACCTTTCACATGGCACTCTCTTGTGGTTACAAATTATGGTCATTCGACATTATTGAGGATATACTACAGTATTAATAAGTATGATAAATACATCGTGCTGGAATAAATGTCCATTATTTTTTGCTGCACGGGGTATCGTAGAAACAACATGAAGTTTGACCATGGGGTCAAATTAAATAATCTTCTCTGAACCCTATATGTCCTCTTTATTGTTTTTCATATTTCTTTGGAGTAACCCTGTCTCAAGTGCAACCCCTTTCCAAAATCACACACAATGCCATCCCAACTGTATGCATTAGGCTTTCCCTTCTGTGCCCACCATGAAATGACAAGAGAAGCCTACCAAGATCTCACTACCTCCTGTTTTCCTACATCTACTGAAGATGAGAGGAAGGTGCAGACAGAGAGTGAGAAACAAGAGGCCCAAGAATCCACATTACATTGCTCCTTGTGTTTCACAACAAATATGGAATATTATTCAAAGACAGTAAAGATTGTATTTTCCTTACTTAAACACAAATCAATTCTTATCCTTCCTTTAGTATATGGTCACGGGAAGCTTCCGTATTTTTCATGTCGTTCCACTTTGCAGCTCAAGCTTAGCACATGGCACACCTAAAAAATCAGTTGTTTTATGGGGAAGATAAAGAGAGCCTAGGTTAATCATGCATTTCATAGACTGTTAATCTTTAGCTAAATTACTCTATTAAACTCAGATGAAACAATCCTATTAAAAAGTAGCAAAATATTTAGATTTCATTTGTCAAAGAGAAAACCAAACATGAGTGTAGTCATTAACAAAATATGCACATCAGTAATGCCTCCCAATAGGTTATCCTTCCATATTCCTTATGAGGTACAGGCCATTCAATGAGTTAATTTGGTTTTTTTGTAGTTTGAATTTTAAAGTTATATTCAAACAGTTACAAATTTTCTCAAGGCTATGTTGTCACCTAATGATGAAAAGGAAAAAAATATCTATTAACTTTCGGTTCCCTTCTTTGTCCTTGAGTAGTTCTGCCTCCTTAGGAATGCTGGGCTAAGAGAATACAGGTAGAATATAAGAAATGTCACTATTAATATCACCAGTAATTAAAAGTTTATTGAATGCTTACTTGTTCAAGGCACTTTAAGGGATGAAAAGAGGAGTACGCAAGAGGGAAGAGATACGGGGACGTATGTAAATGTATAACTGATTCACTTTGTTTTAAAGCAGAAACTAACACACCATTGTAAAGCAATTATACTCTAAGAAAGAGGTTAAAAAAATAATAATGCTAATGTGAAGAGTTTTGAAAGGTAAGAAAAAAAGGAGTAAAATATAGACTTAAAATTTTAAATGACAAAAAATTATTTTATAATTTTTCTTTTTTGTGGGTGATGGAATCATCTTCCTCTATAATTACCAATATAGAAATGGCAACATTTCAAATATGAATGCAGTGTTTTAGAACATAAGTTCTCCTTGATTTCCATTGTCACCTCCAAATTCAAATGCTATTTCTAATAGATCTGGGTCCCACTTTTTACCTTCCACCCTATGCCGTGCCCAATCCGCAAGGTTCCAGAGATTACTGCCAGTTCAGGAGACAATTGTGCCTTTTGGAACAGTTCCTGCTGGACTATCTCAGCTTTGCCACTTAAGAGCTATGCAATTTCTGCATTTTACCAAAATTCTTTGAGCTTCAGATTCTCTGTCTACAAAAGATACATAATAAAACTTAACTTACCCACTTGTTATGATTAAATGATCATACATTAGTCCTTTGCCAAGCATAATGTACCATATAAAGGTGTGGAATCATACCTATAAGAAGCACAAAAATGTAAAAACCGCTCGAAAATCTCTCATTGGTCTGCACAGGGCCTAAAATATCTGTCACTTTACTCACCCCTTTGACTTCTCAAGGAGGTCCCTGTTAACCTATAAATATGTCATATAATTGAATATTAAATATTCATCAAATATTTATATTAAATAACTAGTTGTGATGGGTCACAATGGAAAACATTTATTATTGGCAGTAATAAAAAGAAACATTCGGAAGCAATAAAACGAAACTTGATTCATGCAACAACATGAATGAACTTCACAGGTATTGTATTAGGCTGAGTGAAAGGAGCCAGAGACATACAAAAAAAAATGTTCCTAATGTATAGTCTTATTTTTATGACATTCTACAATATGTACAACCAAAAGGGGCGTGAGGGAACTTTCTGGGGGATGAAAATGTTTTATTTCTTCAAAATGGTGAGGATAACACTAATGCATATATTTTTCAAAACTGATTTCAAGGAACACTATAAAGAGATGAGCATACCACTGCATGTAAATTTTACTTATATTTTATAAAAGACCATCGAAACATTATTGTGTTTATTTAAAAATAGTTCTTATATTTTATGGATGCATGCTTAATTGCTTACAGATGAAAAGATATATGCAATTTGGGGGATTTAGTAAAGAAAAATGGGGGAAGGGAGTAGTGGTAAAAATGGGGAGTGGATGAGAATATAGATGAATCGTGCATTGGAAAATAGTGGAAGTTGGGTGATATTCCACTGAGAGTTCTTTATTCTCTCTACTTTTGTATATGTTTGAACATTTCCCATAATAAAAAGTTGAAAAAAGAGGGATCATTTTGGTTCATCTCCCTTCACAAGAGAAAACTGAACAGAAGAAGAAGGACATAACTTGTTCAAGCTCTCAAAGCCAGAAAGCAATCCAACTCCCAAGTTTAACCTACTTTCTCTGATCCCAAGGAAACAAAATATAAGCGTTTTGGAAAGGCTACTTTTCAAATGCGCCCACCGATAGTGCAAGGAGTTGTTTAAGCAACAAATATACTTGCTCCCAGTCTCTTTTGGTTTCAAATGGCTGTTTTGTAGATTTAAATTCCTTTTTACTCCCATTTCAGAATGTGAGTGCAAGGATCAGAGAAAGCTTTTTTTTTTTTTTCCTACAAAAAATAAACACAACACAAACAAAAAAAAACATACAGCAAAGACTTCTTTTCCCCTTCCAGTTCTAAAAGCATCCTCCCATTCCAGGCAAAGAAAGCAGAGGCAGATCTGTTACGGGGAGGCTCTTGGGTCTCCATTCCGGTGTGATCCAGAACACCTGTTTTCCCTCCAGGTCCTTCCAATTAAGCAATGCAAAAATTGTCTTGCAACCCGTGCGAGTGTCTGCCTGTGTGTCTGTGTGTGGGATGCGGTAGCGTGTCAGCACCGAGGACAACGGGAATCAGAAGTCGGAAAGGTGAGTGGTGTGTAGAATCTCCCTTTGCAGAAGGGGCGGAAGAAATTGGATCTGCTGGGTCAGGAGACTCAGTCACGCTGGATTTGTCTCTTCCAGCCAGGCCCTTGAATCTGGAAAGTAAATTCCACTCTGAGAACGAAAAGCCTTACAGCCGCTTGGTTTCGACGGCTGGGGAGACTATTCCTTCCTTGTTCCACTGATGGGAAAATCAGCGTCTGGCAGCCGCTGGTTGGTGGAAAAGAAAATGGTGAGAGTGGGGGTGGGAAGAGGATTTGACGAGCCTCCTCTTGCCTCTTCAACCTGTAACTCTTCTTTACTCGTCTTCTCTCCACCCGCGAGCCCATTTCGGGCTCATGAGAGGTTAAGAGCAAACGTACATCTGGAGGCTCTTTAAACAAAAGCATCGTTAACGTTGTGTCCTACGACCATTAATCAAATTTCAGCGATCCGAGGGAAACATGCTCTTGGCAGTGCCGATGGGAGCACCCTTCCTACGCTGCCTGTCTCCTTCAGCAGCTCCCCGAGAGACTGGCTCTATCTTTGGTGGTCGATCGCCCAGACTTCCACTTCCCCAGGCCGGTTCTGACGTGGGGGTCCCCGTGAGGAACCAGAGGGAAAGGCGGAGACTGGGAAGGGGGGGATGGGAAAGAGGGAGAGACATCAGTCCAAGCCTAACCGCTCCGAATCTCCGCAAGAGCCCCCGTGACTTGAAGTGAGCCCCAGAACACCCCCACCTTCCCGTCTCCCAGGACCTGGCGGGCTGCCGGAGCTGGAGGGCCAGCCTTCCTCCACGCCCCATCCCCAGCCGAGAAGAGGAGTGAAGAGCACGCGGCGGGGAAAGCGGCGAGCGCCGGGAGAGGGGCGGGGAGAGGAGCTGACAAATCAGCTGCGGGGGCGGTGAGCGGAGGAGAAAAGGACGAGGAAGAGGAGGAGACGGAAGGACCGGGAGGAGGAGAAGGAGAGGAGGCGAGCGAGCGCGCGCGGCCACGCGGGGTGAGGTGTGTGCCGGCCTTCGAGCTGACCCGGGGACCGAGCCCCGCCTTGCGCGTCCTTGGCGCTCTTTTCCCTGCCTTCCCTGGAGACCTTCTGTCTTCTTATCTGGAATCCTCCCGTGCGGGGGACGGGGAGTGGCAGTTCGACGCCGGGTTCGCGGGTTGGCGTCCCACGCCCCCAGCCTCTCCTCGCACGGTTATGCTGACAGCCGCCTCCTCTGGGGACCATCCCTCTTCTGGTGCCACCTCCACCCTTCCTGTGCGCTCTTCATCCTCTCTCCTCCCACTTAAATAATATTTGGGAATTGTTTTACATTTTTTAAAAGTGCGGGTGGGGGAAGAATCCGAGTTCTGAGGAGTCGAGGGAATCAGGTAAGTACCTGTGGATCTAAACGGGCAGCTTGGGAAATCATGGAGAAAACCTGGTGGGAGAAGAGTCATTGCGAACGCCCGGGAGGCGGGGTTGGTGCTGCAGTGAGGACCCGCCGTAGTCGAGTCTCTCCCGGAGGTGGGTTCTTACACCTAATGGTGAGCTTGTGGAAAGTAAATCCACCTGGCTTTCCTTCTGCTTCCGGTACTCCCCGCGTCTTGCCCTCAAAGGCTGAGAGGTCCGGCTTCTCAGGGGTAAGCTGTTTCTTTGGGAAAGGCGAGGATGCTCGGTGGAGTATGAGTATTCAACTTTTATTTTCCGCTTTCCTTAAATCCCGCAGCCCGTTCTCTCTTGTTAAGTAAACAAGCTATGCTTGGCAAATCATTAAATGGAAGAGCAAAGCGGGCAAGCCAGCAGGTGGTAAGGGGTTAACAGGTGCGGGCGCCGGGTGGCTGGCGGGATCGGCGCGCGGAGAACGCCCCCTCAGGGAGCTGGCGCGCATCCCGAGACTGCCCTCGGGTGTGAACGCGCGCCTGCTTGCGCAGGGTAGATGGCCGAGGGCAGGGTGCGTGGTGGGGTGGATTAGGGCGAGTGCGGGGGCGCTGTGGTTCAGCCACACCCAGAGTGAGTAGTTCCCTCCCTTGCCCTCGTCACGTTTGACCTGTTAGCCGCCTTCGGGGATTTATTTTAAGAGTGTCCCTGACCCCGTGCCCCCAGCTCCCTTTACCTTTCCTGTAACCTGTCTTCTAAACGCACTTCTAAGTTCTACTGTTACCCTTTGGACCCTGGGAAGTTAAAAGAGGGGTCCATCTTTTCATGTAATTCCACTTCGGAAGGGCTGTAAGAACAGCTGAGATGATTCATCCTAATCCATGTTTAGGCGGCTAGACTTTTACCAGCCAAGATGGATGGGAGATGCTAAATTTTTAATGCAAAAGCTAAAAAAAAAAAAAAAAAAGAAGGTTGCTTTGTCAGATGGTGGAAATGGAGGTACACTTAAAAGAATCCCACACTTTTGGGGAGTCTACTGATCTTTCAGTGGTTTTTACCTTGGGTGGTTCTAATTTCGTTTTGTTTTACCCAAAAGTTCTCAAAGTGTATTTTGTGTTCTCCAGTGCAGTGCGGTGTAAAGGAATTCGTTAGCCATGGATGTATTCATGAAAGGACTTTCAAAGGCCAAGGAGGGAGTCGTGGCCGCTGCTGAAAAAACCAAGCAGGGTGTAGCAGAAGCAGCGGAAAAGACAAAAGAGGGTGTTCTCTACGTAGGTAGGTAAGCCCCAAGTGTCGCTTCGTTATTTATTTATGACTGATGCGTTAGGATGACTGATGTTTTATTTATTTAATTTATTTTTTGTTGTGTTGGGTCTTCGTTTCTGTGCGAGGGCTTTCTCTAGTTGTGGCAAGCGTGGGCCACTCTTCATCGCGGTGCGCGGGTCTCTCACTATCGCGGCCTCTCTTGTTGCGGAGCACAGGCTCCAGACGCGCAGGCTCAGTAGTTGTGGCTCACAGGCCCAGTTGCTCCGCGGCATGTGGGATCCTCCCAGACCAGGGCTCGAACCCGTGTCCCCTGCATTAGCAGGCAGATTCTCAACCACTGCGCCACCAGGGAAGCCCTGACTGATGTTTTAAATGCTGGTGTTTCCTGCTTGATTCAGTTTTGCGTCTTCATTTGTCAAAATGATGGACTGAATCAGAGGTATGTGTAGGTAGGTAAATGTGTGTGTGTTTGGGCTATAGTAAAAAGTGGGGCTATTTTGTTTTTCCAGATCATTTAATTTTGCAATAATACTTAGGACTTGGTTTCTTTTTTAAAATGAATGTTTCTATGCATAAGTAACTATAGCTCCGAGGACAGTTTTTAAAACTCAGCCTTAAAAAATAATCGAGACTATTTTAAGAATCAGACTCGTCCATGGGCTTTTGATTTCTTTTATCATCATGTATAATATATGCTAATTTCAGTGTATTCTAACTTAAAAATAAGACTTTGATATGACCTTGAGATATGTAAAGACAGACCTTCTGTGGCCCTAGAAAGGAAAGGACAAAAAAGTCTTTGGTGGAGTTACTTCTTGCTACCACTTGGTAAGCCAGGGACTAAGCTCAGGAAAGTGGTTGAAGGCTGCTGATATCTCCGAGACATTTATATATTTCATTTGTGTATCAAGCGATACACACAATAAATGATGAGATTGATGCTTACTATTTCTACTTGTTTATAAATTCCCACCTTGGAGTATTCTTACAGACCCTGACTCTCTTGAACTGTGTTAGGTTGGGTGTTATTTTACAAATCACCTCAAACTCTTTGGGGAAGAAGTAGGCACACGCTCATGCATAGGAATAGACACATGCGCACACACACGCATACACTTACCCACTGCCCATTCTGCCTCTCCTCTTTCTCCTCTGAGCTCTTCCACATTCTCTGGTGGCAGTTGTAGCAACAGTAGCTGAAGGATGAGCAATAAAGTGGAGGATGGCGTATTTAGAATACTCTGCCTGTGTCTGTGGGGTGAAAGAAAGCTACACCGTCTCTCCAACATCGATGGGCTGGAGAAAAGTTATACTTGGAATGATTTTTATGAATCCTTCTCATATTTTTTTCTCACTGTTCATAGACTCTTTATGTTGGCTTAATCTTACCACAAATCTCTAGTTAAATTACTCTTTACTTCAAAGCGTATTTTCATTGGATTAAAAGATGTTACAAGAGGGAAAAAATTGATGAGTTAACTTCAAGTTTTTTGTGTGCAGTGCGATTGTATCTTTTCAGATGGCATTTGGGATGCTGAATCGGTGACATGCAGATAGTCAATATCTTTATATTTGTCCTCAGTTTTCCAAGTTGTGCAAGTGCATGCTTGCAACTATTCTTTGATCTCAGTTACTTTATAACTTACTAACTTTAAAGATTTTTTTAGTATGATAATATCCACTTTATTGGTTTGTAAGGAACCCAGAAAATACTGAATGTTAAATTAATACATTGCAGTTTTCCAGGTAGTAAGCAGGATTATCATCTGGAAAGCGTTGTGTTTGTTTTCATTGTCAACTATGAGTTTGGGCAAATAAAATTATTTTACTTTTTAGAGATTAATTCTGTTATTTGTTCTGAGATGATTATATGAAGTTTTAATTTGTTTATGTGACACGTGTTTTTTAAAAATCATCTTCAGTGTTTATTTTGGTATTTAAAACAAGGTGCATTCTATAAACTATCAGTTATGTTTTAAAGTCAATTAAAAGTTGAATTCAAATACAGGATTCAGGATGAAGAGTGACCATGTGAAGACATAGTAATATAGTTCAGGTGTTGGCAAGCTTTTTCTGTAAAGGGGCAGATAGTGAATATTTTAGGCTGTGATATATGTTTCATCTGCTCAACTTTGCTCTTACAGTGTGAAAGCAGCCATAGACGATAATTAGGGTGGCTCTGTTCCAATAAAACGTTACTTACTAAAACAGCTGGGGAGCTTATTTGGCTCACAGGCTGTAGTTTGCTGACTCCTGATAAAGGAGAAAGAAACATAGATTTGGCGTCAAACTTAAATTCCACTCCAGGCTACACCACTTATTACCTCTAGGATCCTGGGGAAGTAACTTAACATATCTGAGCATCACTTTCCTCATATGTAAAAATATGATTTGGATAAATGCAACTACCTTGCAGAGGTTTTGTGAGAATGTCATAATAAAGCAGAACATACGAATAATAATACATACTTTTAAAAAGTTAAAGACTTTATTTTTTATAGCAGTTTTTAAGTTAACAGAGAAATTGAGAGGAAGGTACAGAGGTTTCCCACGTACCCCCTCCCCCCATACATTCATAGCCCCTCCCATTACCAACATCCTTCACTAGATGGTACATTTGTTACAGCTGATGGACCTACACTGACACATCATAATCATCCGAAGTCCATAGTTTCCATTCGGGTTTGCTCTTGGTATAATATATTCTGTGAGTTTGGACAAATGTATCATGATAGGTATTCATCATTATAATATCTTATAGAATATTTTCAGTGTCCCCCAGCCCACCACTGATCTTTTTCTTTCCATAGTTTTACCTTTTCCAAAATGTCATATCATTGGAATCACATGTAGTTTGTTCAGATTGGCTTCTTTCACTTAATAGTATGCATTTAAAGTTCTTTTAATGGCTACACCTGGTTGCTTCCAAGTTTTGGCTCTTATGAATAAATCTGCTGTGCAGGTTTTTGTGTGGACATAAGTTTTCAGGTCCTTTGGGTAAATACCAAGGAGCACAGTTTCTGGGTCATATGGTAAAAATATGTTTAGTTTTTAAAGGAACCATCAAACTGTCTTCTGCAGGGGCTGCACCATTTTGCATTCCCACCAGCAATTAATGACAGTTCCTGTTGCTCTAAGTAGAGCAATATTTGATGTTGTCAG